TAGACGAAGTCCGATGGCAAGAGTTGGAGCGCGAGCGGCCATGGATTCCCCACCCTGAGATGGAGTGTACGTTCAAGGTGTGCCAACAATGTCGACCGAGCGGCGCCGACCGGATCTCCATGAGTCTCGACGGCATTGTCAAGGGTGATGTTCCGGCCACGGCAGCCACGGGGTTCGGCTTTCATAATTTCGGCCAGCGGCCAGTGTGCGATATATCGGTAGTCGCCAGACTGGGCCTGACGCCGTCTGCGACACGGTTTTTCGAGAACGACGAGCATGATGCGCCCGTGGGGTCGTCGGTGATGGGGACGCCGAGCTCGGATGGGTACTCGATGACCAACCTCGACGATCTCATGGCACGGCAAGAACAGCAGTTCCGGGAATGGCAGCAGCTGAGGCAGCAGGGACGTAGCGAAGACAGCTTTGCCATCCTTTCGCCCAACGGAAAGGGCCATCTACCACGCTCGCCAGGCTCACCGGACCTGAAGCACGCGGCGGATACGGACATGGAAGTGCACGAGATGAAGACAGGCGAGTTTGAGTCGGCCCCACTTGTGGTCGACGACGGCATTGCGGTGCTCGAGGAGAGCCTTGAGCTGCACGTGCCGGATGTTGTTACCCAGGTTTAAGCCGGGTTGTCCGAGATGGACGAAGGCGTGTCATCATTGCATCAATGGGGAGGAACTAGTTCGGTTGTGTTCCGGCAGGTGTCATCGGCAGAGGAGACTGGACAGGAAGCGAGGCCATGGTAGCCGTCCACGACCCGGATGACAGGTCTCGTTCGCAGTTGGATGGATGGTCGTGAGGTTTGCCGCGCTGTTGATGAGATACCCTGGGGGAAGATCAGAGGATGTCAAGATCCTGCACATGAAGTGACAGAAAGGACATGGATATGAACTACATTGTAGCATTGTACTCGTGACTGAACGCGAGGGGTCATTGCAGGCACGTCACGGTCTTACTTGGAGCGGAGGGGCATGACAAGGAAAAGCATGAATTCGTCATTAGCCATGGGGAAGACAACCTGGGCCGCATGATGTTGAGCATTGGGCGATCTGACCTCGCCTCTCCACCCCGGTTTGGCAGTTGGAAAGGTCAGACAGACAGACGGCTGAGAAGATTAGACCGCGGCTCCGATCTCTCACGTTGAGGGGTGAGCAGTGCCCCTGGTGGAGGCGTTGCCAGCGTGTCTTGGCCCGATCCCCTCAAAACAAACCGAGGGACAACGGGCCAAGCAACCAATCATGTGGCTCCCCGAAAGGTCCAATTCTGATGCTGCACCTCAATCCCCCGGGTTGGCAACCAGGCAAGCCAGGCTGCTAGTCCAGCGTAGGCCTAGCCCCCCCTAAGCCCACCCACCTAGCAAGCTACGAGCTCGCTAGACCACAGCCAGCCCCCCCCCCCCCTTCCGACCAAGCAGACCGAGCTGGGATTCCCCCATTCGCGAACCCGCCGCTGAAGAGAAGAGAGGCAGAGAGACAGCAAGCAGACAGGCAAGGCAAAGCAGAGAGCAAGGACCCCTTCCCACCCAACCTCACCTCCTCCATCCTCCCACTTTTGCGCCCAACCCTTTTCCGACGCAGCGCGCAATTGCATCGACGAGAACGAAGAGTACGTGACGCCCTTTCTTTTCCGAGCGAGTCGATCGAGTTGCGAGACGGTCGAGACTGGCGGTCTGAGTCTGTTTTGGTATCGACAACTGGGGAAGCGGCGCGCCTGTGTTGGTGGACTGGCGGTCGGCTGAGCGACGCGGTAAACAAATCCACTTCGACTCGGCCACGACACTTTGGACGCCACGACGAACGACATCACGAGAACCCGCCCCCATCACCAGCCTGCCTCCAGCAGACCCTAAAGACAGCTGCCGTGTCTTTTCCCCATCTCGCAACAATTCATTGTCGATTCGGCACGACGTCCTACGTCACTGCACATTCCGTGCGGGCCATGAGCTGACACCTACACTTAGATCTGTCTACCCTTTGTATTCGCGATCGACACCCCCCCCGACGCCCCTCCTGCCGATAGTTCAATCACACACCCCCGCCCACCATGTCCGTCAAGTTTGAGAGCGAGACGATACGCCGCGGCGTCGAAAAGGTCGAGGAGGCCACCAAGGGCATTATCGACGGCCAGCCCATCCCCGGCACCAGCGGCAAGCACCCCGTCATGTCCGCCGTCGGCACCGCCATCACCGGCGGCAAGCAGAACGCCGGCACCAAGGGCTACCTGGCGGCACGTCACCTCCCCCCCTTCCTCTCCTTCCCTGCCACGAGACACTCCCATTTGCTGACCGACGACCAAAGGCCTACATCAAGCAGCTCGAGGAGAACCCCCTGCGCACCAAGATGCTGACGGCCGGCACCCTCGCCGGCGCCCAGGAGCTCATCGCCTCCTTCCTCGCCAAGGACCGCAACAAGCACGGCAACTACTTCACCTCGCGCGTCCCCAAGATGGCCGCCTACGGTGCCCTCGTCAGCGCGCCCCTCGGCCACTTCCTCATCTGGCTGCTGCAGAAGACCTTTGCCGGCCGCACCAGCCTGCGCGCCAAGATTCTGCAGATTATCGTCAGCAACCTCATTGTGCGTCTTCCTGCCCTCCCTGTCACCCCCTCTGCCCACGCTGCATGCTGCCTTGATGTGCAGTTTTCCTTTAGGTTTTTTCTTCTCGTTTGTGCAGCATGCTGACAGGTGGTCCCGACCAGATCGCGCCCATCCAAAACTCCGTCTACCTCACGGCCATGGCCCTCATCGCAGGCGCTCGCACCTTCCACCAGGTGCGCGCCACCGTCAAGGTCGGCTTCTGGAAGGTCATGAAGGTCAGCTGGGTCACCTCGCCCGTCTGCCTCGCCTTTGCCCAAAAGTTCCTCCCCGACCAGCTCTGGGTTCCCTTCTTCAACCTCGTCGCCTTTGTCATCGGCACCTACATCAACACGGTCACCAAGAAGAAGCGCCTCGCCGCCCTGCGCAAGAAGCACTTCGGCGACGGCCGCAACCAGGGCGGCCTCGGTGGCGGCAGGCCCGAGGACTACCCCCCGACCATGGGCGGCCAGAACCCCCCTTACTAAGCCTAAGCGGTCTCTTCGGACCACCGGTTGTTGGGGTCTCCCCCGAAGCAGGGGATCCTGACTGCGGTGGCCGACGAGGACGAGAAGAGGAGGAGGAGAGAGCAGCCCGGTGGAAGGCGTAATACACGACAGCCAGGGTGGCAAAAGCGAGGAGGGGAGGGAGATAACAAGGGGAGGATGATGGCGAAAGACATATGGCGGAGGATGAAGACATGGGAGCGGGCCTGGAAACTGTCCGCTGACGGGACGCTCTTGTATATTTGTTGGATGTTTCTGGCTATCTCTTGTCATGCTCTGTCGATGATGGGTGATAGTACAATGCTGTGTTTGGTTCGACAATCTGTGCCCCCCGTGTGTGTGTGTGTGTGGACTGTGTCGTTTTTCGTCTATGTGTTCGTGGGTATCGTGCGATCCGATCTATATTGGGCGCGGCTATCTACCGGGAAGTCTTTCTCGAATTTCCACGGTTGGTTCGTGATGCGTTTTGCACCATGAACGTCGTCGCTCTGGCGGGAGAGGTGTCAGCACTCTCTCGTCTCCAACCTCACGTCACTCTCGGCGACTGGGAGGGATGCCCAGCCTCACGGCGTGTCGTCAAGTCGTCGAGTCGTTAAATCTTAGCTCATCTCCTGCCCCTCTCGCTCAATCGCCATGAAACCCCTCGTCCAGCATGAACCCCGGACTCCAATACTCCCACTCGACGGGGCTCTGCTTGTCCACCCACAGCATGCCCTCGCCGAGCAGATCCTCCACCGCCGTCACGGCCCTCGCCCTCGGCCACCCCAGGTTCGCCATTAACATGCCGACGCTCACGTAGCCGAGCACCTGCACCGCCTCGAGCACGGCGCTCTGGTCCGTGTTGAGCTCCTTCGGCACGCTCCGTATATAGCTCTTGCTGCCGACCCTGAGCACGGCGAAGGCACCACCAAGCGGCTTCAGCGTGCCGACGGCCCGGAGCACGTCGTCGTCCGTCACCTCGGGCGCGCCCTCGGGCCGGCCCTTGGCGATGCGCTCCCGCACCTCGCGCACGCCGATGAGGCCGCCGTTCTCGCCGCGCGTGGCCGTGCACGTCTCGACGACGCGGACGGCGAGCTCAAAGTAAAAGTCGTTGAGCGGGCGGCCCAGCAGCTGCGCCCAGATGCTGCTGCTGGCGCCGTCGCCGGCCGAGGACGACGAGTGCGCCGACGACGCGAGCGGGTCGACGCCGATGGCGGTGCACATGCGGGCAAACTGCGCGCGGAAGGACGGGTCGGAGCGGATGTCCTTGGCGTGCGTCTGCGCAAACTGCTGCAGCAGCGAGCGGAAGACGGCGAGCTGGGTCTCGAGGGCTGCGGCGTTGGTCGTGCGCAGCGTCGTGCCGTGGGAGGCGTACTGGGCCGAGGTGAGGCGGTGGCGGTCGAAGGCGCCGATGCCGATGCCTTTGCGAGACATGGCGTTGTTCGTAGACCCCTATCGTGAGGCGGTTCGAAGCGAGTGTCGAGGATGTGAGGGAATGAGTTGTTGGTCTGCCTACCTTCGCAAGACCAAGGTTGCAGGGTGCCTAGGCAGGGCGGTTGAGGGGTTCAGTAGCACCATGTACATACAGTCCAGCGCGACTCGCTCCCATCGATAAGCCTGGTGTGGAAAGGCTTATCTTTGAGAGAGAGAGAGAGATGCTGTCATCCGAGTAAAGCACAGGCCAGCCCTTGGAGGACCCACTAGCGGTCGCAAGCTGAGACCTCGAATGCTGACCTAATCAGAGCTGCCCCCCGGCTCCATCACGTGCCCTGCACCTCCACACTTCAGGCTTAGCGGCAAATTGGGGCACAACCCTCACCAAATTCGAAAACTTTCGACCAGCAAGCGACGAGCCTCAGACCCGTGAACGCCATATCGACCGCCCGCCATCCCACCCGCTGCGACAACCAACCTCGCACTCGCCCACATCGCAGCAACCATGTCGTCCTCGCAGAGCGTCCAGTGCTTCGGCAAGAAGAAGACGGCCACGGCTGTCGCCCAGTGCAAGGTGCGACGAGACTTTCCCCCCCCGGGGCATCCCCCACGTTCGAGCAATAGGAGAGGAGCAAAGAAAGAAAAAACGAAGGAAAAAGGGCGACGTTGGTGATGGATTGGGAGGCGCCAGACCAACGAAAACACATGACAGTCTGGCAGGAAGTGCTGACATTTTTCTCTCTCTCATCAGGCCGGTAAGGGTCTTGTCAAGGTCAACGGCAAGCCTCTGTCCCTTGTCCAGCCCGAGATCCTGCGCTTCAAGGTACGATTCTTCCCTCAGCACATGGCCAACATGGTCAATCCCGAATTCCCCTACCGAGCCGAAACCTCGAGCACAGAACACAAACATCGACAAGATCAAAAAAACAACATGACATGAATACAGACTTCCACCGAACACGTCTTGCTAACCGTCGCCCCAGGTCTACGAGCCCCTCCTCGTCCTCGGCCTTGACAAGTTCGCCGACGTCGACATCCGCGTCCGCGTCTCCGGCGGTGGTCACACTTCCCAGATCTACGCCATCCGTCAGGCTATCGCCAAGTCCCTCATCGCCTGGTACCAGAAGTTCGTCGACGAGCACTCCAAGAACATGCTCAAGCAGGCCCTCGTCGCCCACGACCGTACCCTCCTCGTCGCCGACAACCGCCGGTGCGAGCCCAAGAAGTTCGGTGGTAAGGGTGCCCGCTCTCGCTTCCAGAAGTCCTACCGTTAAACGGTCTCGCCTTCCTCCGGGTGGCGATGGCGCGTCTTGGCGGCAAAGGACACGGAATCCTCCGCGGCGCATCTACTCCCGCCTTCTCCGGCGCTGCTCGACCTTCTCGACACTGGTATTGGGAGGGTTCCTGCCGCGTCTGCGCGAAATCATGACGGTACTTTTTTTCGTGTCTCGGGGAGGATGGGGGCCCGCCGACTGGGGGAGGTCCTGTGGAAGAAGAGCAGCATGCTGTAAGGGGATGGAGGAGGAGTGAAAGGGGAATGGGGCTGGCTGGCATGGACTGGACAAACTTATTACCCGGCGTCAAAAGTGGAAATGGAATCACAAAACCCAGACCCACGGGGCGGGACGTCTTTTACGCGCGAAACACAACCCTTGCGGCTTTCTTGTTACGGTTCTTCTTCTTCTTCTTCTTACGCGTCGGGCCCTCGTTTCGAGGATGCATTCGCGTGGCGTGCCTTCGGTCCCCGGTGCTGTGAGACTGGTTTGTAAAAGGGTCAGGCAAGCGAATGGAACATGGAAACGCCAGTGTGAGAGGCCCGTGACGTGTCTACCGTCGTTCTGTGCCTGCCGTGGCCACTCATTTCGTCACTGCCATGCCATGGATGGGCTCATTCTCTGTTACTGCCATATGAATGCCCGAGGCGGACGAGCGAGATCTCCTGTATAAACAACACGGATTGTCCCTCCCAGATCTGCACGTCCAACAAAAGCCACTGGAGCGCTACTATCTAGCCACGAAGACCCCCAGTGCTGAGTTACAGACTCGACATCTTGGAAAGACGAATTGACATTGTTAAGCTCCTCTTGACAGCAGGACCGCTCAGCTAACGACGTCATGGTCATTCAAGTGTTGGTGGAAAACAGTTGGTGATGGGCCCTGAAGGTCACCAGCACGCTCCGCTCCGTGTCCTTATGTTTCTTCGAGACCTCTTTCCCCTTCTCCAGATTGCCGTGGATGGCCCGAATCGATTGGGCCGGGTCGCTGTGTCCTCCTACATTCTTATATGGCGCTACGTGAACGGATGCACAAACAGATTCAGTTGTTTAGCCACTCCACTTCTTTACCTTGCAGATCTGTAAGCAGAGTGTTCATTTTGGAAGGACCATGCCCTGTTTGCTTCTTGAGACTGTAGGTATTGCCATGTTCCACGGGAGCGTCAGATCCAGTTACGCCTCAAACTTCGTCACAAGTGCAAGTGCAAGTCAGAAGCTGAGACCTTCTGTGAGTTTTGACACCGCCGTCAAGTATTGCATGACAGGCAGAAATAGCTGAATCTGACCTACGTACAGCGCCTACCATGCATGAGTCCTCATCACATCATTCTTTCAAGACCCAGAGACATCTTTTCGACACTCACCTGTATATCTCTTTCCAGGCGGTATGCTGTGATGACTGATCGCCTGATTGTCGAAATCGATGAAATTCGCTTGACAGACGAGCGCCCACCTGTGTGAGCCCACTATACTTCGCCTCCTGTCCGTCAAGAGGCTGAAAGTAGCGAAACGCACGGTGTGCCGCCTACTGCACTAGGAAACAGGCATTCTCACCTTGGTCCAGGGAACATGATCGACGGTAGACTCGCTTCGATTAACCATTGGGAAGACCGATTGTGACTGGGAGAGCCATGCACATTCTTCTGGCCGCCAGCACTTGCGACAGTTCTGTACCTGTGACAGCATTCAGATATCTGGATATCTAGCTACGAGAGCCAGGACAAGCATGACAAGCGTCACCAACACTGCGGAAATCAATCGCTAAGACCGTAGTACGCGATTTAAAACGCCTGATCGCCCGGGATTGATTGTGCTGACGGCTGATTCTGGCCCTCAGTAAGGCTATCTTGCACGTCCTTACCCGGCATAGTTTAGCCTACCCTGCGTCACCGAGTTCACGAAGTGACTTCGCTTTACCAAAGGCACCCCATTCTAGAAGCAGTCATTATACGGCACGGGCATTCAAACAGCAACAGCTTCTGGTACAGTATAAACCTTGAACCGGCTCTGTGTTAGAAGATTAGGCACAGCATCCCGGCGACACATTACTCGTCGTCCTGACCAGCATCCTCACTTTCGTCGCCTCCGATTGTGAACCTCGCATGGCGCTTCTGCATTGCACCTAGAACGCGCGACTGTGGAATGTTCTGTGCTCTCCGCCTCCTTGCTTGCAGGTGGTGGTCAAGCGAGGTCTCGCGAAGTTGTGATTCGAGAAACTCCAGTTCGGCTATATTGTTGGCGAACATGTTGACAACTGACTCGCCGCTGCTGTTCTTAAACACGAGCCAGTCCCTCTCGTCTGCTGCTACACTACGCACGAGATTACCGGCAATGGCCTGGAGTTTTGCCTGGTTTGACTGAACGATTTCCTCGTCTGAGGCGAGGATCATTTTGAGAAGAAGTGCCAGTGGGTTATTTCCCTGCTTGTCGCTCCGCGTCGCCCAAGGCTTCCATGCATCGAAGAACCCGGAAAGAATAGACGCCATGTCGATATCAGCTAGGTTCAGCGCGGTTCCAAAAGCGGAGGCAACCATATCATTTCCCCGGTCGTGGCCATGCGATGCCAGCAAGGCTTTTTGAATGACTCCCGCGGTGACTTCATCACCGAGGGCGGCACTTAATTCGAGGGGAGTGAGGGATATGCGCTTTCCCTTGTAACGGTACTCTTCGGTGAGCGTGAATGAAGCCCCAAGCGTCCATTTATTCACCCCTCGTAGACGGAACAGCAAGCCGACCGTTGAGGCGTCCTGTGCCGTCACGGCCTCGACGAGTGCCGCCTGCATACTCGCACCATGAAGCAGGAGTTCTTCCATTGCGGCGGTCCGCCGATAATGGAGCGCCAGGAACAGAGGGGTATGGCCTGAGACCGCGCATGGAACAGGCTGCTCGTCGCCATCACGACGGAAGAAAGGGTAGTTGACATGACATCGAGCATCAATTTCCGAACCATGTGCCAAGAGAAGCTTGATGAAGCCTAAAGTATCTCCCTCTGACTGAGCCGCATAATGCAAGGCTGTCATGCCATGGATGTCCGCAGCGTTTGGATTCGCTCGAGGTGTCTCGTCCTGCAGAAAGTAGCGCGCGAGGTTATGAAGGTCTTCCTTGGTTGCGGAGATGAGCTTCTGATCGATGAATTGCTGCCTATGATCATCGCTAGAAGCTTCGAGTATGCCTGCTGGTCCTTTCTCTGTGACCTCGAGTAGTTGTGACTTTGTGACGGTAGGCCACGTGCATGTGTACATGGACATCGAGGTCTGGTCTAGGGGCATCAGAACTGATGCTGGAAGAATCCCTTGGAAATGCTTCCCAACGAAAGCACGGAGCTCATGACCAATATTCTCCAACCGAATGCTCTCGTAATCGGTTCTGGCTCTGCCACACACGCAAAAGCTTGAGTTAACCGAAGTTCTGCAAGGCTGTTCGCTGACGAGCTGACAAAAGACATATTGACGTACCGAACATAAGGGGCAAGACCCTGATATATCTGATGTTCCACGCCATCAAATCCCTGCACTAAGATCTGCAAGAGATCGATACTGGCAGTTTCAGATAGTTTACTCAAGTATCTGGTGCATGCATCCAAAGGGCCAGAGACCTGCAATGCAAGAGACTGTCGATAGAAACTCGGATCCAAAGCATTGGTTCGGGACCGCGTTGACTCAAGCACAACTACCATGGAGTTCGGAACATTGCCAAGACCAGGCCTGAGAGAAGATCCCCTGGAGTTGCTATGAACCATGTATTGATGCGCAATGTGCCGTCCAAGGACCACAGCCTCGCACAAGACTCGAATCGTGTTCCAAGCTGAGATACATTCTTGAGTCGAGAGGAATTCTGCGTCGATGGGGAAGTAGAAGGAATCATAAAGAACAGGATCCCAGGAGGCTTCCAGCATAGAGGCAGCGCCGACACTGGCTGGCTCGGGTTGTTGCTGGTCGTCATCGCTATCACTTAGCTCCTCTTCCCCTGGGTTATCGACCGCTCGAGGCAGGATAGCAAGTGACACCTCCTGAAGGTGCTTTGAGACATGGTCGTAGAATATACGAGATTCCTGCTGGAAGGTTGCTGCGCAAAACGCGCAAATATCTAACTTCTTCCACGGTGAACGATGTGTCGCCTCGTGGCTTACCCATCGGTCTGTTCGATCGTACAATGTAGTATCATGACAACTCATGTCTGTGCATATATAGGGTGTCAAGTCTGTGAACACATGTGCTCTACGCCGTTTGAGTCAGTTTGTCCTGGTTCCATTTGGATTTCTAGGGGGAGAGGTTTTAGGCGACATACTTCCATTCTCTTTTCGTATACACCTCTGTTACAAGTTTAGAGCAGATGGGGCAAACAAACCCATGACCATAGTTCTCAGGCATTGGAGGGATTTGAGGGCGGTCGAATACCGCTGCCGATGACATGCTTCTCCCGGAAACAAGGGTGGCCAGCGATGCGTCGTATTGAGTACCGCGATCAGGATGTTGTAACCCAGATATCGGTGCTGGCTTCCGATTATTTGAAAAAATAGATGAGTAAGGCGCAGTCGAGGTTGTCGGATTGGTGGTCCCGAGCCGGCTAGAGAACAAGGTCTCCGTCACATCATCTTGTGTTTGTGTCTGTGGCTTCATGCTGGTGGCCTTCATCTGGCGCAACATCCCAGCGCGGATAGTGTTGGCCTCAGCAAGTCGTTCTACCAGAAATCTTGGTAGAAGTCCAAACCGGTCACGAAGTTTGCGACAATAGACCATGGCCTCTTCGGAAGAAACAACAAAATGATCTTCAATCTTCACCGAGGTCTGCTCAATTTTGTCATCCGCCAGCACAGTCTCCAACGCTGGCGTTTCCAGGGTATGAGATAGATCCATCAGACAGTTAATGTAAATAGCAATGTCCTCGACGAGCTCCGTAACGCTGAATGCTAAACTGTCCGACGAAGAGTTGGGACTGGGATTGGCTGTTTCTGCAGACGTCGTGTACTGCATCATGGTCTCGGCTTTTTCCAGTAATTCTGGAAGTTGGCTGGCCGCGTTGGATTCTATCGTATATGATAGCTCACAAGAAAGTGCTTGCGAGACGGTTGTTCCGAGTCGCCAAAGTAACGTCACCAAATGGATTCGAAGCTCTCGTGAAGGTCCCAGGATCTCATCGAGAAGCCCGTCATGAGCTGATAGCCCGTCTCCCCAAAGAAAGAAACGTTCGTATTCGTTGCGACATTTCCTTTCCACGTCATGGTTGGTCTTTGAAAGGATCTTGACGAGAGATGCCAAGGAGGACCAGATGGCTATGAACAGTTGGGCTATGAAGCCAGATCCGTGCTCGGGCGCCTTAGGGGTAGACGCCCAGGTTTCGACATCATGCCGGCTTAGGAACGAAAGTTGAGCCATGAAAGCGCAGTCAAGAAGAAAAAACAAATATCGAATTCTAGGCGCCTCAGCTGCAATCTACCTCGTAACATCTGTAAAAATGGTAGTTTGTAGGATGCCAAATGTGGAGGTGCGGGGGTAGCCGTCAGGAACATCAGGTGAGCGCCTCTATCCACGAAGTCAAGGTCAGCCAGTGGTTCATGAAGTGTCGAATGGGAGGCACAGGCGAGATTGCGACCTATTCGTCCCCAAACGAGCATGTTCAGCTGATCTGTCGTCGTGCATGGGTAAGGCTGTGAGCCCCTCTTTTCAAGCATTGCTGAACCACCCTTTCACACGTGCTGCGATGGCAAGCAATTCACGCTCAAATCACTGACGATTAAAGACGCGAACGAAGGAAAACATGGGCATTGATTCACGATGAGCGGCGTGGAACTCATCGTGGGCGCCGTTCTCGGTTCAGTGCCTATCGCCCTCGAGGCGTACGACAGGTCAGGGCGATTGTTCGAAACGATCTCGACATTCCGGCATTATGCGAAAGAAGTCGACCTTCTGGACGCAAAGCTCAGTACTCAGCGCGTCATATTCCGCAACACTGCCATCAATCTGCTCACGGCGGTGACGCAAGATCGCGACTCGGTCCAGGAGGTCTTAAAGCGACCTTCCCCAGAGCAGGCAGCTGCACATGCGCGCCTCAGCATGTCACCAATATATAGGCATCGCATCGATGCTCTGGCTGAATTATTTGTATCCTGCCGGCAGCTTTCGGACCAAGTCGATACTGTGTTGCAAGAGTTGTGCGGGCAATTCGAAACAATCCGGTGCGAAGTGGGCACCGTCAGTCAGGTGAGGTTCGCATGCCCAATCTTGTAGATATGAGCTTACGCGCAAGCAGAAGCTGAGGACGTCGGAGTGGTTCAAACACGTCAGATCTCGAATCAAGCTCGGTCTCAGCAAGCCGCAGACCGAAAAAGCCATCAAAAGGTTGAGAGCGCTGAATGGAGATTTCGAATCCATTGCGAGTCATATCATTGCTGGGCTTCGGCAGCTATCCCTGGATTCTCGAGGGGGGAAGCACGACGCATCGTACCAATCGTTCAGCGACAGGGACACCCTACAGAAGTATCGCCGGATTCGAGGTGCTTCCAACGCCATACATTCGACTCTGCAAGAGCGCTGGATGTGCTCATCACACCCTTCTCATTCATTTGCGCTGAACATTGTCGGCCATGATACGGCAACTGGCAAAGGGAAGGGCAAAGCTCATGCTTCTCACTATGTGACGTGCGAACTTGCCACAGTTCCTGGTCAATTCTTTTCACCCACCGAAGCGGAATTACGACTTGAGATTGAACAAGTTTGCGAGTCGGATGACGAGAACCAGAGTTTGCGGCAGCAAGGAGATGTCCAGCGAGTCGCAGAGTTTCAGCAGCTGGCAATTGCTCTTGAGACCAATGTTGGTGAATTCCGAACAGTCAAGTCGACGACGCCGAAAGCAGGGCTCGGGAGGCTGTTTCGGGGCATCCCAACTTCGGACAAGCGGCTGCCGGGACCTGTCGAGGCCGCGGTGGCCCGTTCGTCTGACCTTCCACAGTCTGTGGCCGTCAGCGCAGTGGTTGAACCAATGAGCACAGCTGCCGTGCCTTCACCGACTCCCAACCCACCAGCAGTCATGGACTTCTGCCGGGAGTTGCGCATTCTCACGTCGGACTGCATACAGCGTTCGCTAGTGGCAACATGGGAGCTCCCTCGCGCCCAATGGTTCCATATTCCCGAGGCAGCAATACAGACGCAGAACACGTCCCAGTCCATCTCGGATCTCATCCAGTGGATTGCTGAGAAACCTGTCGTGCGATCCCTCTCTCGTCCGGCCTCGGTTGAAATGGCCAGTCGGATTGCTGAAGGTATCATGCAGTTCTACTCGACGCCCTGGCTCGTCGACTCGGATCTGGGACAGAATGTGCGATACTTTAACTCAGCACCAGTACCTTCGGATGCGGTCGAGCTGAAAGGTCCGTACTTTGCAGCAGAATTTAGGGGTACAAGATCTGCAGAACACCCGAGGGCTGGCCCGGCAACGTTGAATGCTGAGGGCGAGCCGGGTGGCATACGACATGTCGCCGAAACAGCCCGGAACAAGCTTTTGTTCAGTTTCGGCATCCTGCTGCTGGAGATTGCTTACGGCCGACCATGGGGCACCTTGAGGAAAAGCGTGACTGGCTCGAAAATACCGCCTGACGGGGCCATCGCCGACTACCGAGCCGCAGAGAAATTGGCCCATCTTTTGGTCAACCAGATGGGCTCAAATTTCCCCAGAATTGTCAAGAAATGTCTCGGTTGCGACTTTGGACTCGGCGAAACGGACCTTGATAATGAGGACCTGCAACGGCACTTTGTGAAGGATATTATCGTGGGATTAGAGCGACTGGAATCTCACATGCGGCAGATGAACTTGGCTC